GTTTTGAGATGGCATTCACCATCTTTGTGAAAAGTTGAACATTACTAATCAAGTCCTGTCATATCTTTAGAAGGCGGAAACAGTGTTAGCATTTATTAAACCAGAATTATTAGGTCATTAAATATGAAGTGTCCGATTTCAAATCAAAACTTGAGTTTATTATGTCTCAAACAAGAAGCAGTACAATTAATCAAAGTATGTGCCTAAACTGTTGACACAGTTTTGCCATCTTAACAGTAGCCTGTTTATGCCAGCAGCGAAGAAACCTAGAGAGCAAGTGGTGATGAAATCACCAAAGGCATTTTCCACAGCTTGTTGAGAACTGAATATTTTTCCTTGGAAGAAGTGGTCCAAAGCCTGCAAGAAGTGGTAGTCAGTTGGTGCAAGGTCTGGTGAATACAGTGGAGGACAGAGAGTTTCCAAGTCCAGCTTCTATAGTTTGAGTGACATGTGGTTGAGCGTTGTCTTGCAAGAGGATTGGCCTGTCTCTAGTGACCAACCTCGGCGGCTTAATCACAAGCATCCTCATCATTTCGTCCAGTTGGTTGCAGTAGACATCCACTGTAATTGATTGACCAGATTTCATGAAGCTATAGTGGATAGTACCAGCGCTGGAGCACCAAACTAACACCATTAGCTTTTTTTGATGAATATTCGGTTTTGGACTGTGTTTCGACACTTCATCTTTATCCAACCATTGTGCCAAATGCTTGTGATTGTCAAAAAGAACCCATTTTTCACCACATGTAAGTAAAAATTCAGTGTAGAAATGGTTCGCCTTTATGTCATGACAGCAAAGAAAGGCAAACTTTGAGATGATTTCTCTTCTGACGATGCTCGTTTCATTCATGTGGTATCCATCTGTCCAGCTTCTTTACCTTGCCTGTTTGTGTCAAATGGGCCAGTATCATTGGAATAATAATGTCAAACCTTGCTGCTAATTCACGTATAGGTTGAGATGGACTTGCTTCCACTACAGCTTTTACCTCATCATTATCCGCCTTGGTCTCTGATCACACATGGGGCTCATTTTCAAGATTATAATTGCCAGAACAGAACGTCTCAAATCATCGAAGTATTGTGCTTTCTTTAGCCACATCCTTCCTAAACACTTGGTTGATATTTCGAGCTGTCTGCGCAGGATTGGTTCCATGATGGAACTCATATTCAAAAATAACATGAATTTTTTACTTATCCATGGTTTCACAAAAATTGCTCTAAAAAAATTTGAAAGATAATCACAAGCCAAACCATGCATTTGAAAGAATGAGGATGTACCTTCACAATAAAAGTAAAACAAGAAGTGTCAGAGTGAAATGTCTGAGATAACAGCTGTCAAACTTAGCACTTAAGGAAATCAGACATTTCATGCTTAATAACCTAACTCTCAGAATTCAAAAAAAGATCATATTCACTTAACCATAAGCCAGTCTTATTTAAATGAGGACTAAC